GCCGGAGTAAATGCCGGGCCGAAGTGAACAGAACGGTCGACGGTTTTTACACCGGATTTTGGTATCAGGCAAATCCCAGCTGCGTCAATAATCGACGGGCCCATCGTTCACCGTAGCAATTTTACGAGCCTCGTTATCATTCGCGCCGCTCGCGCGGACTGGCGCGACACGCGGCTCAACGTATAACGCGGCGCGGCGCAGCGCGACGGTATCGCCGAAAAGCCCTCCTCTCGCACGTTCCCGTCCACGGACAGCTGTGGTTCCCGAACCGGGACTAATTCATGGATTCGAGAGAGATTAATTGGCAGAGAATTAAAAGTGTGCGACGGGCACGCCGTCGCGCGCTGTCAGCGTCGATATTACACGGCGCGACGGAAGAAGGTGTTTGTTTTTTTTTCACGTCCATTTTTCACGTTTTTAGATTGAAACAGAGCATTCGCATTTACGAGTAACATAATGAATATTTCGAAAATTAAGATATTGGAAACACTTTCTTGCATTCCGCCGCGTTTTTATAAAAATATATAACGTTGCTTTGCGACATTAATTACATTACAATCATAGACATTTAAATAGTCTATAAAGATAAATGTCTTATTACAATGCACGTATAGAAAAAAAAAGTTAAGTCGGTATCTCCAATTCTTTTGTTTTCCTTTTTCTGATGTAAATAAAAATAATAATTCTTTCTTTGAAACCACCGCATAATGTTGAATAATTGGCCTTTCGAAATCAATACGTTGGATTCTTTATAACCAGATAAGAATGTTATATTTTGTATGATATTATAAAATTGAAATATTAAAATATTCCCATAATGGATTTTTTCACAAACTTATAGTCAATTCCCTCTCGGGACAGCGAAGAATTTTTACAGAATGATTAAAATTTTAAAGACCATGTTATAATTTTTCATGTTACAATTTTTTTACATACTTACTGAAATACATTACTAAAATTTTATTCCCTCAAATTCTAAGGAAATATCTTTGACGGACGCACATGGGCCGCTGCAAATTATAGGTATACGTAAGTCGACAAGTAACATGGCACTCGAAGAAATGGAGCAAACGCGTTTTCTTATGTAATCGACCCGTGAGTGTGATGCATCGGCCGATTTATCATCGCAGTTGCATACCTCGCGCTGATCGTTGTAACGGAAGAATTTTCACCGCCACGTACGGCTATCTTCTCTTGCCAATTCTTCTGCGATTTACTTTTCGATGCGATGGAACATCGCGTATGTACGTACATCCGGTTGTTTAACCGCGCAATGGATTACACGAACGTGAGATTTGAACTGCCGGATGAAGTACCGGATGTTCCGCATCGCCGATGATTTTCACAGTTGGATAAACGGGCCGAATGCTCGGTGCAGAGAGGTGGGGGTGAAGGAGAAGGAGGCGAAAAGGAAGCGACGCGGGAGAAAAGTTGCGAAAACGATCGTCCCGCACGGCGCATACTGTTCATGACCGGCCCGGGGAAAACTTTGATCGTTCGGGACAAAGCGAATTCCAAAAAGGAAGCGCACGAGCGAGGGAGAGGACGAAAGGAGGAAGAGAAAGCGGGGTAGGAGGGAGCCGGGAGCAGAGCCCGTGTCGCGAGAAAAATAGAGAAACACTTGTACGCAGGAAACGAACGTGACCCACCCTCCGGGATGTTCCGAACTTAGGCAATAAGGCGACAGTCAGTTGCAGAAGGTCGTGCGGATAGTTTCGGAAACTTAGCCGCGCGCGCCCGCCCGCCAGCCCCAGCCAGTGGCTCCGGCTCCTACATTTCGGTAATAATCCGCTGCTATTTATTAACCTATTCTGTTGATTCGCGTTCCGTTTCTTTCCGCCCCGCTCGCTTTCCTCACCCTCGTCCAACACTTGTATAAGTGAGGGCAATCGAGGGAAACTGGCGCATAGGGCGCATCAACTTCCCGAGTTATTATGAGAGTTCACGTGCACATGAAAGTAATTAGAAATATCTGAATCGTTACTATTCCATTATCCCCAAATTTGGAGCTGCGTGTTGAGGATAATGAATAAATATAGCTTTCGAACATGCACAACGTCTATAATTATGTGATAAAACTTTACGAATTTTTGGTAATTATTTTAAAAATTGATTGTCCTGTTCTTCACAAATCTGTATTGCGTCGCCCTATCGGCGAGCAGCTTCAGAAAAGTTCGTCAATAAGTCATTAATTTAACACGTTAAATAGACTAATTCTCGAGATCGCGACGCGTATAGACGTAAGTGGAGGGAAATCCTTTTGTTCCTCCACAGTCCCTCCCTCGGGTCTGGGATTCTTTTGTTGCACCCTGTTTTTCACCCGCGGGGCGTAATTTTTATACGGTCATTATCGCCATTAGGGAAGCACGCGCAGACTCACCTTTCAACAGTGGAATTACGCGGCGGCCGTCGGGCGCGAAGGGTCGGACGCGAAATGAGAGTCGGCATCGCGCGACGACGACGTCTGACGCGCGGGATCAGAACAAAGCACCGCTATTTCGAATAATTACAACTTGTCCCCCACCGTGCAAAACTGTTTTCGACCTCTGTCGAAAACCGCGCGCCCTTTCGCCTTTCAGGCATGCCCGCCGTCCTCGTTGTGCGATGACAATAACGTTTCATACACGTACGCATGTTATAGGCTGGCTAAACCCGGCTATCTTGCGCATCGACACGAATGTAGAAAACTGCATGTAGATAGGGAGATAAAATATTGAAAAAAAAATATCGCAACTTTGCTATCTGAGGGCATTTTTCACATTGTGTGCGCACGCGTCTATTTTGTTTAGGGCTGCAGTGCCAACATTTTACTTGAATGGCAGTGACGTGAGCTTTTATACGGTATGGAAATTTATTTTCGCAATTATAGATATTACAGTAATAATATATCAGTAATTATAGGAGAATTTAACGGCCAATAACGACTCGATATATGTTATTTAATTGTAAGATAAAATAATCTTCATTTATTTGAAATTAAAAAAAAAACATTGAACGTTTCGACTGCACAGTCTTCGTTAATTACAGTAATAAAAATGATAAGATTTACATAACTGGTTGAAATAACGAGGAATGGATGAAATATAAATATAATATAGATATTATTTTTAGAATCTGCGAGGGACCGTGGCCACCGTGGCGCAACTTGTATGGCGACCGGGTTTACCTGCTTTTATTTCTCCGGAATAACACACTTCTCCGATTTAATTTACTGCGATGTCCGCACACCCCTTTGGCACGAATGATATCTTCAACGTTCAAATACAAATAAGGCGTATCCGCGATTTTGAAAATTATTGCGGCTGTAGGAATTAGTGTCGCACGTGGATCCACATGCTTTCGTATAATAATCGACTAATTCCGATAACAGCCGCGATAATTTTCAAAATCGCGGATACGCCTTATTTGTATTTGGACGTTGAAGATATCATTCGTGCCAAAGAGGTGTGCGGACATCGCAGTAAATTAAATCGGAGAAGTGTGTTACTCCAGGGAAATAAAAGCAGGTAAATCCGGCCGCCATACAAGTTGCGCCACGGTCCCTCGCAGATCCGTTTACGACGAGAAAGAATGACAAAAGGAGAGCGAGGGTAGGGTGAGAGAGGGGGAGGAGAGAAGTGCGATGGCTAAGCGGAGGAGAGATAGAGAGGGAGAGAGAGAGAGAGAGAGAGAGAGAGAGAGAGAGAGAGAGCGCACCTAGTTTGAAATTTCAAATTCATTTACGGTCCCGCTGCCGAGTTTTAATCCGCTTTAATTATGAAAAATCGTCGAGTGCCGCCGACCCACCTACCAACCTATCTACCTTTCCATCCCTCTTTCTCGTCCTCTCGGCTCCCTGACATTCCTTTGCGTCACTTTTATCGCCGAAGCGAAGATCGTCAGTCTCCCTTAACTGCCATATTTTCCCCTTTTACCCACGCGACGTCTCATTACTGTAATTACTTCATACACATACTGAGCGCGGTGCACGAGTACTATCACATGATTACAAATAACACGGAAAGATGTAAATGATGTACGTAAAATTATTGTGTAGCCGCATTTAAAATTTCTTTCAATAAAGAAATTTTAGATTTTAGATTTTATGATACGGAATTGAATTTCCATGTATAATAATCTAATCATGCAAGATTGAATGTGGACGAAAATAATTTTTCACTTTTCTATCTTAGACGTTCCATTTCCTTCGCTATCACGTCCTGATTATCGACATCATTCAATTACCGCGGTGACATTAGATCCTGCGACTTCCGGAGGTATATAAAAATACGCAGTCTTCTCTTCCCTCTGAGATATGGCGATAAGAGAATTGATTGGAATACCTTGTTCTCTCCCTACGGTGTACTTTTATATACCATTCGGTAAACTTACAAAATCAGGTTATATTTGTGGACTCTGGGCTTTACTTGTTTCAAAGGTGGCCATTACAGCCGCGAGTAGAGGTAGCGGTACTGATTAAAGGGATTAAAAGGAACCTCTAAGAGTAAACTTACGCGACACTCGCGCGCGCGCGCGCGCGAGAGAGAGAGAGAGAGAGAGAGAGAGAGAGAAAGAGGATACGTGGTAGTTACATTTTGCCAACAGCACTATTACATTAAGGACATGCATTATCAGAAATGCAATCAGAATTATGGATGTAATTTGAGAGTCAGAGGGCATTTCTAGGGAGAAAAATGGGGCTGCGAGCTCCGTTAAAATATATTGCACTACGACTACGTAGATTCGTGGAACAACGTCACAGAATTATGATACATCGCACGTAGTTATCTAAACTTATCAAAAATTGTTGCCCGCGTTCGAACTTTCGGCGTTCGTTTTCCAACGCGAAAAATAAATTGATACAGAATTGCTGTGTCATGCTGTGTTTAGCACATCAAATTAATCTTCCGCGCGCGCGCGCGCGCGGTAAATTCTCTTCTCTTCCCAGATCTAACGAGCGTGAGCGTATTCATACGAATCCGAGTTACAAATCTGATGTCTCAGAAATGAAGGAACACGAGTTCAGAATGTAAAATAGAGATGTATCTTCGTACATGTTTTATACGTTGCAGGCGAGACGTGATGCATCGTTTACAGTACCGTCCACTTTGCACGTCTTCCTCGGCCTGTTTAACTTCTTGAGTTCGATGTCCATCGATCTTCCCCTCGACTTCGCCTGCGCGAGTACTTTGCGCCAGTCGAACGTGCGTTCGAAAGGCGTGCTCTCTAATTTGGCCAGAGCCTCGGCTTGCACTTCCAGAAAATTGTATATAATTTCTTCCTCGGGATCGGCAAAAACGTCCTTTTAACGGAAAGAATAATTAACATCTCATGTCGCTGGTACACTTGTACTTTGAGATAAATGTTTTAATATATAGAATTTTTTTGTAAAGAGATAAAACTCTCTTTGTAGAAAAAAATAGATTATAAATTTTTTCTTCATAATATGTATAAGAAACGTTAGTTTGGCAATGTGTATGTATATGAAATCAAAATATTTATACTTCTGTATTACTTATTTTCTATTTTAAATAAAATACAGCATAAGCAAGACTCAGTTATTTTAAAGCGAGATTTAATTTAACGATAAATATAAATTTAAGACATTTTTGCAAAATCAAAATACAAGAAGAAAAGTGCCAGACAAGCAAGAAAGAGAGTAAATTAAAAATTATAACTTTAATTTCAATAACGATATTAGAAGCATTTTTAATTCACAGAATCTTCTTCAGCCGAAAAATAATAAATAAATAACGATTAGCAAAAAGGTAAATATATGTATAAAAGTAAAAATTACAAAAAAGAGACATAAAAAATATTAAAAAATAATATTTAATGTTTTACATATAGTCGGTATTATAACGTTTTACATCGTAATGCACATTTTATTCTAGCGCGCACGCGCACTTTTTATATATTATTTACAAAGTACTACGCCGCGCTAATTATTTGCAAAGGATGGCCGTAAGATTAATTGATTCCCTTGACGTACTTCTTTTCGAAGAGCGGTTTCCTTCCTAATGAACTCTTCGATCGTTAAGCGTCTGTCGGCCGCAGAGACTGCCGGTAAAGGCGGCAACAAAGTTTCTCTGCGCTCCCGCTGCTCCGGGAAGAGGAACACGATGGTTTCCTCAAAGATCCTGTCCTGCAGACTCAGGATCTCCCGTATCTTGCGCTTCTTTGTCCTCGCCTCCTGCCGCAACCTGAGAACCGGCGCGCGTTGCCTCTCGAGGACGTCCTTTCTCAGTCCTTTTTTCTCCAGGATCAGTCGTTGCATGCGCTTTACCTCCATTGACATCCACCGTTCCCGGGCTTCCTCGAGGAACTGCCAGGGCTTCCGACGCTGTGAATAGTACCGAAATTAACTTTAGCTCGGAAAAAGGAAGATCGCGGTTTCTTTCTCTCTCTCTCTCTCGTGCGCGCGCGCGCTCTCCCGCAGCACTGCGCAATGCGGGATGCTGCCCGGTACTGAATCGCGACCGACATACAGGGATTCGCGAGAGGCACCGTTATTTACGCGGGCCATTATATACCAAACGTTTCAATTCGCCCGAATGCGGTTATCCGCGCGGCGCGAACTGTCGCGCGCGGCCGAAGCGCGCTACGAATAGAAAGTCATCAAATTATTTATCGATGTGGAATATCAGATTGATCGGCGTGCAGTGTATATACCGCGAGCCTTGTAGGTGTAGTCGCGCGAGCCGCCGCATCGACCGCTTCAGCCTTAATCTTCTCCTCAGCTTCCAGTCGCTTCTTCTTCTCCTCCTCCATCTTACCGAGCTTCTTCTTCATTTCGATATCCTTGAGATTTGTCTCACGCCACGTTTCCTGCCAGGCTTGAAACTCGCTTATCTGATCATACGTAGAAATAGACAATCGTATACGGATGGGGTAGAAAGTACGAAAGAAATTTTTATTATCGTCAGAGCGGTGAAATTTACGGTAAGTTACTGTGGAAATAATAGAATAAGAGAGAAGGATTTTTTTGCGGACGCGACTCCCCATTAAGTTCCGATATATTTTCTCGTCTGACAAAAGCATAAAATTTTATGAAACGGGTGCGTGTTGAGATTCACATTCGTACTATGTGAAATGTACGTTTTTGTACGGCGTATCAAATGCATATAAGTATATTATTGATGCGCTAGGTTAATTGTTAATAAAACTTGGTTAATTATTCTAAAATATCTTTTTACAACGGAATAGTTTGGATTGATAATTTAGTACATTACTATCTTTACAATTTTTAATATATAATGAAACTTCTTTCATCTAATAAAGATACATTGCGCGCTCGCATGTGTGTGCGTGCGTGTGTATGCGTGTGCCCTTCGAGATATAAATTTTTGGTTACTTCGTCTAGACGTTTAATCGATATCGCTCTCGATATATCGCCGTCTCGCGCCCCTTTTTGTCTCACCCTTTGAACCTGTCGGTCGATGAACTTTTTCAGCCACTCGACGTCGCTGACGTCGTACGTCAGTAAGACACGCGGCGCCATGAACATCCTTAAGGAGCCGTTGAAGTCGCAAAATCCGATACACTGCGGCTCCAGCGGCAGCTCGTGCGTGTAGACGCCTGTAATTATCCGTCCGGACAGACTCTGCACGTAGCACGGCTCGTGGCTCTTAACTATGAGATCCCAAATTTCTACGGTGCCGTCCATTCGTGTAAAGATCAGAATGGTCGGACGTATAATTCCCCACGAGCACGCCGTGTATCTGCGCTTCGTAAGAGACGTGTATTACTATACATCAGCGGCAATCAGTAATATTAGATTTAAAAAGTATAACGTACTGTTATGTTCAAGCGGCTTCAAATAAATTGTTAATGTTGCAAGACGTATTTGAGAGTTGATTTTTTTAACAATTTTAAATAGAATATACGGTCTCTGTTTCTCCAGAATTAATAAAAATATATAGAGTTAATGATACAAAATGGACCGTCTGTCGAGTGTTTGAATCGCGGGAGGTATCGACTCGACAACGTTTCGATAATGACTGCTGCGGCGCGGACCGAGCGCGTGCGGCCATACATCGAAAATAGCTTTCATTAACGGAGTAGTAACGGCGCTGTAAACGCGGGCGCTGTAAACGTAAGTTATGATCGTATTGTCATGCAGATCATACCGAAAGTTCGACTCTCGCCGTGGAAATCTATGCGCGGCGCGTGAAAGCGAGCGGGCGGGTGCGGGGGCGCCGTCGCGTCGATGCTTGTGTGTCGGGCAATACGGAACGCTATCGTCGCAATTACATGGCTGTAACACCGCGGCAATTTATCGCGCGCACTCGCTCGTTATTTTTATTCCGCGAATGAAACGCGAACGCGAACGTGAAACGCGCCGCGCCGTGCCAGCGTGTTGCCGCCGCGTTTATGTATATTCATGACCATGTTTCGTTAACTCTCTCGCGATATTGACGTTTCTCCTCGAGGAGTAATTCCTCCTGCGCGCAATTCCGCGCGCGATCCCCGCTCGCCGACCGCGGTTATTTTAATGCGGTTATTTTAGCTCTCTTCCTCTCTTTTCCCTTTTATCACCGCGCCATCACTTTCTGTCTCTCTCTCTCTCTCTCTCTCTCTCTCTCTCTCTCTCTCTCTCTCTTATGCACACGTCGAGAATCACTTAGCGCCCGGGCGTTTACTCTGACGCGGAAGCGAAAGTCCGCACAGTTTGCTTTAGTCGGACGATACCCCCGCGCGAGTTCTTTTTTTTTTCTCTTTCTCTTTCCACCCACCCGACGTTGGACCTCTTCCAAATGAGCGGCTCGCCGAAATCGTCCCGCCACACGGCGAAGATCTTGCCGCCCACCGTGACCACCACCTGGTGATAATAATTGGATCGGACCGCGTGCGTAACCGGTCCGTCGTGCAGCCTCTTCGTCCAGAGCCACCGCGCCGTTTCGCGATTCACGCTCACGTCGGTCGCGAATTCGTAGCCGGTCCACGTTATGCAGCCAAAATCACCTGTTGCCCCCGTCGTTCACGCTTTATAATCCACTTTAACTTGCCGTTTGATATCAAATTAGATCGATCTTATTCAGGCGGGGGGAGGGCGGAGGGATTTAAGTATAATTAATTGTGTGTTTAATCTCTCTCTCATTTGAATTGCATTGACAGTTAATAAACTCGGGTTCCATAATCGCGTCCGTGCCGTGCACGTCAACCGGTACGGAAATTGAGTCGCGAGAGAAAACGTTACGCGCAAGTTTCCGCGCCTTACCCTCGACGGTACCGATGAGTATCTTCGGCTCCATGACGTAGTTCGCCCTCTCGATTATGGGCCTGTAGTACTTTCGAATTGTGAGATCGTCCCTTGCCACCAGGAACGGTTCGACCTGTTCCTTGCGAAACTTTGGATTGTACATGCTGAGAGTCGTTATCACAACCTGCCGGGTCTCGTCCGGATATTGAATCACGAGGATATAGTCGGGCCTGAAGACGCGATCGAGGATCTTGAGGGGCGACGCCGCCGGCTGCGTCATGGATCTCGGGATATCCGGATGAATCTTCTTCTTCCGTCTGCTGCGAACTTGCCGAATATCCTTGTCCGAAGGTTGCCATCTTTCAGACCGAAACGTTCCTCGTTAGAAGTAACAAAATTATGTCTCAACATTGTCTCGTTAATAAAAAACGAAACAATGTTAAAATATAAAGGTAGTTATTAGAAGAGTGGCGCGCTTATTTTACGCGACGTATTTTCGCAAACCGAAATGTCTCGTACAACAGAAAGTAAAATTTTTATATGGTCGACGAACTAAAATTAAATTTATTATAAAACTTTTATTAATCATTTGCTCGGATTTTGTTCGAAAATTTATTGGTGCAAATTCGCGCAAATAAGCCCCTTTCTCTCAAGCGCGAGGCGTGGAATAGGGTGTAATCTCGTAAATATCGTACCAATTTCGTATCAAGTGAGGAAACAATTCACTCCAGTATTGGATCTACATAGCCATTGTGGCACGGCCGAAATGAAGAGCGACTCCTCCCCCCCCCCTTCCCGTCGCACTCCCGACTGGGCGCGCAGAGAGATCGACGAGACCAAGGAGCTTGAGAGTTAGGTCCGGAGGACCTACTCTCTCTCTGGACGGGCGAGGCGACGCCGGGAAGGGTTAGAAGCGAGGGCTGAATACCGATCAACGATTATAGAGGGATGGTCTATCCATTTTCGGACCATATAAACGCCAACTTCGGAGAATCGAGGAGCGACGGAGAGTCAAGTCGCAGGACCATTACGGTTCCGCAGACCGGGAGAGTTTCTCGTGAAGGACGAGGGAGGGAGAGGGGGAGGAAGCGGAAGGCGGTTCGTCGTCCCGCGTCCGGAGCGGAGGACTCGAAAGGCAGGAGAGACGGAGAGGGACTCTCGCTCTTTAACGTTTTGCTTGCGACAAGTTTCGCACCCGTCGAACATTCGAAGTCGCTAACTTCCAGTCTCGGGAGATACGAGACGGGACTCGGAGGGCCGTCCTCGTGGTTACCAATTGCTGGCTCAGGTCGACATCGGAGCCCGCGGCCATCATACGCTCCCGGCGATACGTTCGATAGTTGTTCTTGCATTTTTAAGAAAAACGACGTGACGTTTTCCCGACGATGCCGACGATGTCGTGAAAAGTGAAAGATAAGGAAAACAATCGTCCGCGCTCCCGACTACGTTGGGAATATTCTCTTGAATATTCTATTTCTCACTCTTGCGAGTCGCGCCGTAGTTCGTATAGGAAAATTCGACGAATCGACATGGATTCGATGCGACTCCTCGAGAAAGAGGGGTCACGTTTGGTTCCTTAACGTTTAATCCTTAACCGATGGAACTATTCGAGCGACGCGACAGGAATATCGATATCCGTCCGTAATTCTCACAGGATTGATAATACTGTCAATACCCAATATTGAAGCCAAATGAATAGGAATTACGTAGAACATATTTAGCAGCGAAAAATAATACATATAAATTTTTATAAGCTTTTTATATGAAAAATTTCTCTTTTAAAGTTCTTTTCGAAATTCTCAAGTAAATTTCCTGCGGATGTATATCAGTAGAATCACTCAATCCTCATTACAGTGGCGTAAATCGTATTTACGCAAAATGAGTCTTATACTACATTTTTTCCAATTATTTATACATTGTAAAAAAAACATTTTTCTTTTATGTTTCTAATTCATTTCATTACACACCGCTCTTGAATACAAAAGTATTCTCATCAGTAAATTAAGACTTATTCAAAATAAAAATGTCATACTTAAGAGATAAGAGCATCTGTTAAATAATAAATTAAATAGTTGGAGAACAAAAAAAGACGATGCTTACTTAAGATTCCAAAAGGCGATTGTGCCGTCTTGGCTGGCGGTTACGAACTGACGACTTAGGTCGTCCAGAGACGCATCTTCCGGCAGGGACCAGATCCGGCCGTTTTTGTCGATCCGGTGATGCGAGGGCACCCAAACTATCTGGGTGATGCCCGCCTTCTGGCTGTACTTCAGGGCGGACATCGCCGTCGGGCTGATCAACGACGTTGCCGTCGTCTCGCGCATCCATGTCATCAAGCTCCTCATCGCGATGCTGTACCTCACTTGGGCGCCTGTCTGCGCCACCACCGTCTCCACCTGCTCGATTTTGCCGGGAATGTGCCAGATGGCGATCTACGGCAAGGATATGGATGGATTTTATCGTCGTCCGTTCACGTCACCCCTCCCCTCCCCGCGTCTCGTTTCGTTGTAACCTAAACTTTTGAGTTTCACGGTCGCAGCTTGTAACGGGATGTTTTCCCATACGTTTCCGCAGACGCTTCTTCTCGTCTAAAATTTGCTAATTTCAGCTTACAAATAGTGCCAGGCAATTAAGAAGATATGCGCGCAGCTTTTAGTTTAAACAGTAGAGCGTTGATAAAAATTAGGAATATAAAATATATATTCATTAACAAAATTAGGAGTTGCTTTGTGCAAAAATGGGAATCGGCCAAATCATTTTTGGCGTAGCTAGAATTTTTTAAGTGACCGAAAGGGTGGTTTATCGAGCACAAGGATGCCTTTCGATGCGTGTATTTGATCGAAATATTTTGCATTTGTATTGTGGCACTTATGGATTTATATGTTACTCCGTGCGAAGCTATAGAAATGGGACAAATCATTTTTAAAAATTCGCTCCAGGAACGTTTCAAACTTCAACCAGCTGAAGTTAGCATCCCATTTTTTTAAATTAAATTAAAAATTGTTTAAAAATCTTGTTCTAAACTATAAAGAACTCTTCGTTTCTTCAACATGAAGCGGAAACTTGAATCAGAACTATGATTTTAATGTTGGGGGGCTGTGTGAAATTAGCACTCTAACATTAAAATTTCATAGTTCTGATTGGAGTTTCCGCATGATATAATTTTTTAAATATAATTTAATAATTTTATTTTATATTTAACCTTATTTTAATGCTTATTAATACTTCAATAAGACACTATTAGTATTTTTGTGCGTCACGTAAAAGCGCTAAATTAAACAAGTTACATAACCGAATTTTGGAACCGTTCATTCTGTACGCTTTTTGTCGTTTTTTATCAACATTTTATTATTTTTATTAATAATATTTTATAGCTGCAGTATGTAGTTTATATTTATTGAATGTACGTGTTTTAAACCTGTTTCTCGTTTTACATTTTTAGCTTTTGATATAAGTTTTTGTAGATATATCGAATTAAAATCGACACGAGCCAAAAATAGTAACATAAAGCAAAAATAGTAACATAAAAAATTTAACAATATACTGTACAATTAGGAATTTTTTTTGTTTTGACATCTACTCGATTGCAGAAGCATTCTAATCCGTTGAAGGCTGTTTAATCTCTAGCTCTTTTTAAGCATTTAGACATATCCGAAAATTACTTTATACATACAGTTCAAAAATACGCAAGCAGCGTATCTACTTAAAAAAATATACAAAAAGTTCAACATTTCTTTTTTATCGGCCTTCTTTTACTCAATCTTCGCAACGGCGCGTTATCACTCACGTTCGTCGCCTCGCGTCTTGTCTAATACGCACGTTTCACAACACTCGATTGCCCGATCGGCGACCTGCAGTGTCCCCGGGTTGCAATCTGATATCCGAACATTGTGGAACATCGAGAGGAGCGGCGAGAGGATGCGTCGCGATGGATTAATGGAGACAGGTGATCCCGCGTTTGCATATACGATATTCGCGTTACGTTCGTTGTTCACGTCCGCCATGATTGCCCGACGCGCGGCACTTTTCGAATTTTCACGTCGAAAACGCGCGCGGCGCGGCCCGGTGACACACAACTCGGTGTATAGCGCCCGGTGGATGCCGCGGCACCGATCGCGATGTGTTTTTCGATATGTGTGATTGATATCGATCGTATTCCATCGGATTGCGCACATTCGTAGGAAGAACTTGTTTACGAACACGCGTGTGTCGCGTTATTCATTCACAGGTATATGACATGTCAAGCGAACGCGCATGCATCCGAGTGCGCCAGGGGGCGGGAGGAGAGGATCGCAGTAACGGGTTAATCGTTTGAAAAAATATTTATACGACGCTTTTGCTGTCGAATTATCTCTCAATTTTGTTTTATCTTAATTCTTGACTGTGACTAGATCATTCTTGTCTCGTATTCTATTGGATATAATAAAAAAGTCGTCCCACGTATAGGTAAATGTAGTACACAAAACAGCAATAAAAAAATCAACAATTTTTCAGATCTTTCATCGTTGTCAAAAATCTGTTGTAAAAAAATGTATAATATGAATAATCTTGAAAAAACTAAACTGAATACCTGTTGGGTCCCGAGTAATCCATCAGCTACCGCCAGTCAAGGATTGATTTCTTACCAAAAAAAATGTGCTGAGATAGGAAAAATATAAAATTTATTTTGATCACCTGGCCATTTATGCAGCCACCTATGATGATGCTACTATCGATGGGGCAGACAGAAACGGATGTCACTTCTCGTGGACATTCGAGGATTAATTTAGGTGACAAACAGTCGGTGAAGGACCATATTAGTACTCGATTGTTGCCCTCGCAGGCTAAGAACACCTGTTCATGAAAAACGTATAATTTTATAAATTATATTACATTACGATTGTACAATATTACGTGCGTGTGTTTTTGTCAATAGAAAAATATGTTCCACACTAATAATAAAGTTTCCTTTGTGATTTAAAAAGCCAGATTAGATTAATCTTACGAATGAAATAGATATAATTTTTAAAAGTAATTTGCGATATTGTCAAACCTCGTCGTAAGTTTTGGGACCTATTAGATGCTCGCCCTTCGCATGCTGCGTGTAAGTAGCTATCGCCGTACCGGTCCAGAACGGATGCCAGCAGAGATCGTTGATAACTTTATCCACAATGATCTTTCCGTCGTAGTAGCTCTGATGCTCTTCGTAGCCTATTGGCACCGGTGCCTGCGTGTCCTTTTCATTGCGCACCAGATTTGCATAATCATTCGTATATATATCCCATGTGGAGTTCATTAAAACCTGTGATAAAATAATTAAATTGAAGATAACTGCTATCTATTTAAACTCTCTTATCTTACTCTTAAATCTGAATCAATGGATAGTCACTGATTATCAATTATTTATTGAATGCATCAGTCCCCAGTATGTCACTGGTAATCAGTGAAATTCAACTTCATTGTCTCCCGGAAATCACTAATAAATAGGTGCTATGAATAATTGCTATAATCGTTGACAAATCAGTGGACTTCCCTGTTTTCGCTAATTGTACAGCGGATTCGGTTCAGTTTCACTTATTCATTAATCATTAGCAATACAAGGCGTTACTTACTCAGTCAATGACTTTTCCATTGGAGTCAGAGAATGATTTAGAGAGTAGAAAAAATTAAATGTTTCAATAACTAATCTCGTAGTTAAATTATGACAAAATATACATTATATTCCAAGTATATTTATATTTTAATTATATTTTATGTTGTATTTAACTATGCATTATTTAAAGTACTGTAAAAAAATCAATAGATTTATTACCTGATCGCACATTTCGTCGGTGCAGCGCTCGAGGAAATCCTTCAAGGACTCTATCTTCTCTTCGGTGTAAGTAGACAAATCGACTGTCTCGTATTCGTACAGATATTGGTACCAGGAATTGACGGGTATCGATGGCGCCGTTTGCGCCTCGTTGTGCCGTACGATCGGCGTCACTTGCGTATACCTGCTTACCAATTTACGCCGTACATTCTCAAATATTTGTCGGCCATCCGGAAGCAGCGCGATGTACCCGTCCCTCTGATCGTCCGCCTTCCTGTCCACGAGATTTATCGGCACGTTCAGCAAATCGGCGGTAGACACGACCTGATAGGTAATTAAATGCGAAAGATATGATCGGCCCGGTGGTGCATCATCGACGGCGGCGGAGTGTATTGCGCGAGCCATACAATATATCTCCCTCCACGCGGGGCACCTCTCACAAATACGATTAAACAATCGCGAGCAATTGATTTATAAACTGCTTCTTGCCCAATCGAAATCAGAATAAAGTGATTAATAAATAATTTATTGCGATCTGTGAATGTGCCGCCGCGCCGCGCGATATTATTGTCGATTCGCCGCAGTTGGTATTTATAGAGGCCGGATTAATAGAAATTTACGATAATCGCTGTAATACCGCGCGGCTTAGAATTCAACGAACTATCAATATTCACGCTCGCACAGTCATGCGTGCGAATCGTGCGTTTGGTACTGCACACTGTCGTAAACGCAATAAAAATTTTCCAAAATTTTCGGCCCACGTTTATGCGACGCTCGATCGAACAGATATGCAAGTCGCGATTGAGAAGTTTCGACGACGCGACGGCGCGACGGCGGACTGAAAAGTGACGCGACAAGTCGTTCGACAGAAGTTACGAGAACACTCGAGTCAGAATCCAGCCAATGCTGTATGCAACATCGTCTGTATATTATATCATAATTTTTGTCAACAACTGAAGAATTTCCTATATATACATCTAATTTATTTATTTTGAAATTAAAATTAAAATCAAAAATTGATTCAAGTGTAATTTCAACGATTTTAAGATTACTTTAAGACAACTTTAAAGATTAATTTTCTCAAGCTTTTAAAAATATTAAGTTAGATGTTGTTGCACTAAATCCTCTAATTATTTATTAGAGTATTGTATTTTTCTTTTGCAGTTTAATAAATGATGCTTTAATCAATTTTTTAATTCGTCGGAAATAATAAATTGACCAGATTCATGATTCTTTAATGCTATACCGCAACTGCAACTTTTAATGTCCAAAACCAGAATTCGGTGACTCTTTAATGAATCGGTGATTCTTTAATGCCTTGCAAACCTCAATCTCGAACAGCGGCCTCGTGTTCCTGACGACGTCGGCGTCGACCTCGGCACCGCCGCCCAAGTCGCGCCACTGGCCGGCAGATTTGTAGATCGCGTTTCTCACGCGATTCTCATGCTCCGTCCTTTGCTCCTGTATGTGTCTCACCACGGCGTCTCTGCCCTCCTCGGTGAGGACGATGTAGAATTGGGCCTCTTCGACCAGGGACGGCGCGTAGCCGATGAAAATTTTCTTGTCGGGGAACGCGTAAATCTCGTCCTTCACCGGCAGGAACTCGCTGCTTTCAGAGTGCAAATCTATATTGTCCTCTATGACGTCCTTCCTAACGTGCACCCACGGATATTCCGCGGTGACGTCTTCGCCGATGATGCAGCCGACGATCTTCTGCGTCAGCGGCGACAAATCGATTCTCGCGAGGCCCGGTATTCCCTAAGATTAAATCGACATAAACTTAACTTGTGATATTAATATACGTTTCCTTCTCTGCTAAAAGGAGAACATCTCATCGCTTTTGTAAACATTTAGTGAAAATTAAGAGTAAATTGAATTCATTAGATATGTCAGATATACTTTAAATAGATTTAAAACTGACTGACAGTTTTTATTTCTTGTTCAGATATAATTTCGTAGAACTCTTTTCGCGCGCGTGCGAATTCCCTTTTAAAATCTTACGTTCGATAGAACAATTCGATAACTCGAAGTTTTGAAAATAGAATAAACCGCTGGCACGCGCTGAAATATTCACCATCGACACGGAATATCGAATTTTCTTCGACGGCTCCGCGGTTATCTCCATCGTGTCAAATTTCGGAAAGTCCACTGACGGCCGGGAAGTGGTGTAAGCATTGAGTTCATGCACAGTTCTCCGTCTTCCCATTGACGGTTCAGCCATTTCTACACTAATTTTCTTCTTTGCCTCCTTCTCCCAATCTTGTACAGCTGACAGAATAATGAAACGGATAAAGTAACTTACAAGTGTCTTTTAAGAAGTAAAAAAAAAATACTAAATAAATAAATTCTCTAAATTTTAAAATAATATTGCAGGGTTTTATCTATTGAATAAATTAATTATGTCGTTGTGATATTAAGAACTTTTTGATTAATAAACTTTGAAATGGCAAATTGATCAAAATAATACAAATATTCAATCGGTTTATTTTAACAGGTTATTCAAATACGTCGGTCGACGTATTTGTCGGATTCGCATGATTCACATTTTAATAAACCAAATTCAATAATCTCTTTCATTATTTCTGGCCAGCGCGGCGCTTTAAATCGCGTCATTCATATTCGAACATATTTACGGTCGGCTAAGTTTACGTTTGTTAACACAGTGCGTACTTCCACCCGACACGCATATCCGATACGCATCATCGATCTTCGTTCGGCGCATATATAATTTTAACCTATTTGTTATGAAGTTTCAATATTTCTACATTTCGACGTTATATTCCGACGTTGTTCCTTCGAATGCAGCACGGTGTACGCTTTAACGGAGCGTTATCTCCATTAAAGGGAGTGTTTGCCTTCCGGCTAACAATACGAGAAACATTTTTATTACACGCAAATTCAAAAAGAAAAAAAAAATATATACATATTGCAAAAATGCATCAAATCTTTCGCGTTTATTATTGTTTTAACTTTAGTTAGTTTTCCCCTGAAGAGAAAGTGCCGAAGTAACAAGCGAACGCATTAAGATATCCGTTCGATACCGGTCGGTCTAAGGAACACGTGCACACATGCATTATTAACGTCAAATGTATCATGAACTATTCATCAGTTATCATTATGTCAAATTTTCTCTCTCTCTCTCTCTTTCTCTCGGGGAAGGAACTATAACCTACGCGGTTTTTTCTCCTCTTCCCATTCCCGTTCGCCAGGTCCCTCCTCCTTCTCCGAGTCGAGGGACTGTTCCACTTCTTCGAAAAAGTCATCGTCGTGTCTGTATTCCCGCTCGGTATCGACCTCGCGAGACTTTCCATTCCCCGTCATTCTTTCCGCATCTGCCTCGCGCGCCTCTTCTTCCATGATGTAAACTGCCCGCTCGATTATTTCACGTTTCCGGGACTCCCCGTTGATGCGATCGACGTGCGTGCGAGGATGCACGTACAGCCACGTGCGTTTCTAGATACGTACTATGTATATACGTAGTGTACGTGTACGTAACACGTAATGCGCGTACGAATCGATACGACGTGAGGTGAATGTGACCCGAGTGCCGCGATACGAGATGAAAGACAGAAGAAATCTTCACGTTTCGAAACGGCGAAACGAGCGCGAATTTGCACTGCAGGGTTCGAGCCCAGCCCGGCGCGGTGTAACAATTTTTTAATCCGCACTGTATTAACACCGCAGGTAAAAAAAACACGCAGCTGACGACGCACGTCGAGGCTTAACGAAATTTCAAGTCGGGTACATTTGCAGTTTGATTGAACATTGAAATCTCGGGTTTCATCGTCGGAGCGCTTCTCCCTCCTCTCCCCCTCCTGTCCTTTCCGTCCATCGTTCGTATAGCGCGAAGTGGATGGATGTTTCGGAATATCAATTTTTTCCCTCGAAATTTTTATGTGCGAACGCGAGCGGCGAAGGCGATTTAATTGTTTTTATATCAGGCGAATGAAAACGGGTCGCCCGTGCACTTAACCCACTTCAATATACCGCAGATATTGTCGACGTTATAACGGGACGTTTTGTAACCCAATGAGCAATTTAATTGCGCGGCGACCGGCTCGTCGTCGTTTAAATGAGATACACCGACAATTGATAATATGAATACTATAATATTAAACGATATATTTATCGTAATAAAAAAAATGATAGTATCAGGAAAAGAAAGTATAAAATTCGTAATTAATAATTTTGCAAATTTTAGTAGTCTTTACATCGCACGAATATTTGTCATAAATTTTGTAATTTTTGCGATTTTTGTTTAAATATAAATTATTGCTCAAAGAAGCGAAACTTTCTTTATTCGAATTTTTTGAAAGATAACGCAATTGCAGCGCTTCGGCTCGTATAGTATGCCGGGATTGTAATTAAAAGGTTTCCATCGGTCGATTGTTGAAACGCAATTACGTCTGGCACAAAATATTATTCGTTTGCCAAAGCAAACTTTTATTCGTCAAATGTAATAAATTATTATAGTAATATGAATCCGACGCCGATAACGTACTAACGAATTCGGCAATACCTTTATCCAAATAACCAGAAACAATGTAATTAGCATTAATTTATAATTCATGTAACGTTTTTGTCGAGAAAGCTTTTCTCAATTGTACCAGTATAATACTGATTTTATGTTTACAGAAAATATATACATTACCGTTTTCATTTTTTAAGTTCCCGAATACTATTGAAAATAAAATTAAACACATTTTTGCACGTTTTTTGTGTATTTTGGCAACGTAACAATAATTTGATCTTTCACTTTCAACTATAAAATAACAAAAATATTTGTCAGATTGATATATTGCTTGAAAAACTTCCAATTTTTTTTCATCAAAAAAATCTCCCTTTGCTTTTATTATAACTTTACATATTTTGCACATTTTATTAATTAATTTTTTTCCGGTGCCAGACTTGTGGTACGGTCTGCGGACCCACTTTTCTCATCCGCTTATCACTCAGGAAGATTTATTAACAAAAAAGATTGTAAATATTCCAAGCAACGTATTAAGCAGTGACAGATATTTTTGTTATTTTACAGTTAAAAAGAGATTATGTCACTAAAATAACAAAAATTATTCCAGAATATTTGTTCCAATTTATTTTTAAAGGTAGTATCTGGTATCCGGCAACTTATTGTATATGTCATTTATGCATTTGGCAAATGCAAGAAGAGAGTTAGATATGTATGGCGGAAATATTAAAGCGACTTTAAATTCCCTGTTTTCAACCGAATTTATAACTCATCGTTCGCGATACGGCAGCGAGATAAACGTCCTTTACACTTTCATACTTTGCATACATCTTAATTCCCTGCCACTGAATGTTATGATTGCGCCAGGCAGGGTCGTTCCCCGCGTTAAATACGAGACAAATATTTATCCAAGATTATGGCGACGTAGATAGACAACTTCATTCAGCACGCGATGTGGGATATTTTCCGTGAATATAGGTATACGTATTTGTACAAGTACGTATACACATGCACATTTCGAATAGACAGGTACGGGTTCGCGCTCTAATTGTCAGCGAAATTTATGACTTTCGCGAGAATACGCGAGCGCGCGCGCGCGCGCAAGCGGGCCGGGGCTCCAAACAATGCGCTTGGCTTGTCAAATAATCGACAAATTCAAATGCGCTGCATTTACGTGTGACGGATTTAACTGTATTGTCACGCACAATTAGAACATTGTCACGCCGACATGCGTTACCGTGTCCGCATGATGCGACGCTTGTCCCCGACTTAGTGAGTATATTTATTGAGTTGGAAACGCAAATAAATAAAAGCGAGAAGGAGGAAAAATGAGAGGAAAGGTAACGTGGATCGTTGAAGGAGTTCGAGGTTGAGGAGGATCAGTAGGAAAGCTGCGTTGAGATCGATAAGAATAAACTAACGCGAGTACGCACTGATAGCGCGTGTACTCTAGCGTCTAACAAGATCTACAAATCGCTTACGTTCCGAACGCGCGTTATTTGATGCGCACTCAAAACTACTCCTCCCCCCTCCCTCCGCGTTATATATTACATCATTCTACTTCCGAGTCTTCAAGTATTCATAACGCGCAGCCATTAGAAGTAATAAGTATCATTTTTACGACTTATCTCTGCGTTTTCGATTCCTTTTGGCGCGCGCCGCGTGCCGAGCACTTTCCTGAAAAATGTATCTTGTACCCGGTGCATGTCGCGAGTCGTAAAAGAAAAAAGAAGTGCCGGTCACGCTTTTTTAAGGGCGTTCCGTTAACGGCAGGCAGACAGTTTCGCGCACAGAACGATATTGCGTTGCTCACAATTTCGCGACTTTTTTTATATTTGAGAGTTTCCTTATATCGCCCTTACTTACGCGCCGTAAAACGGCGTGTGTTACGCCGTAAGACGGATCAGTTTCCCGCGAAAATGGAAACTTTTTGACTGCCCGCGTTTCTATCGTTCACGTGTCCGTTGCGCGAACGTCGAATGCTGGCACGTATATCCATATCAATTGACGTGTTTTTTAATAGAAAAATTTTCAATTAAATTATTACTATTTTCCGCGCGGGCGTGCGTATACGCGACGACCGCGTATTTTGTATGCGCTTCGACGATCGTTATTTTCCAGCGTTTGGACGACGGCGGGAGCCCCGGTAATCGGGCGATTCGCACGCCCGTTGGAAAAATAGATTCCGGCGTTTAGACAATTTGGCTTCGCGGCCGGGCCGTACGGCGATTAATCAATTGCAAATATATACCGCACATAGATTGGAAATACACGCTGCCTATTTCCTGTTTAATCGAATCAAATTGAGATGGTATTTTCCCTGTGTCCGGTCGCCCCATTTATCGAGCCGAAATGTCGAGTGGCGCTTTCCTCTCCTCGCCCAATGTAGAACGTAAACGATCCGAAATGCGCTCGCTGACGATTGATCGATCAAAGGGAAAACCGCCAGGAAGTTGCTCGCTATTTTTGGCTTAACAAGAAATGCAGAAAAATAGTTAGCGCGAGCGAAATAAAAGTCTTTTTAGACTCATTATCCAACCGATATATGTATTCAATGCAGTCTTGGCTGTAAGTACGAAGCGTCATCGATTAATTATTTTCTTGAAAAAGGCGGTAATAAAAATCAAAAGAAAACTGACAAAATATTAAAAGTGTTATAAAAATAAAGGTTATATTATAACGATAGGAGCTGTTGAGCCAAGCTAGGTATAACGTGCTAATAATCTTATTTTGAACT